ACACCATTGTCGTAAGTGTATTGCTGATGTCGCACAGACATTTTATGTCTACGAATTTTATATAAAAACTGATTTCAAAACGTGAATAATAATTTTTACGTCAAAAAATGGTTTCATTACTTCACATACTGCCACTTCTAACTCCGTTGAGGCTGATTATCATCAGCTCCTTAGTGTACTTGATATACCGTTTTATTACTCGAGTGATCCACGAGTTGCAGATAATAGAACGCTTTAACAAGCTGCCCAAGTTGCCCACAGCTGGCTTTGCAGGGCTACTGCTTGGCAATGTCGATTCTTACTACTACTCGATGAGACACTTGCCCATTCCTCAAGGTTTGAAAATGTATATCAACTTGATTTATACAAAAAAACCAATGATTAATTTTTAAAACAGGCGCCATTCAGATGATTTGTGCTGTGTTTCAGTTTGAAAGTCTTCGGAATGGTCCCGGCTTCATAGCAATGCATATCGGGTATCAGAAGGTGGTAGTTTTTTTTCGCGCCGACACTGTGGAAAGTCTGGTCAGTAGCACGATTAACATCACAAAGAGTGAACACTACGACTACATGAAACCCTGGTTAGGCAACGGCCTGCTCACCAGTTCTGGAGACCACTGGAGGAGGCACCGCAAAGCACTGACGCCGGCTTTTCACTTTAAACTGCTTGAATCATTTGCTCCAGTTATGAATTCAAATGTGAAAATTCTATTGAATCGAGTGGAGAAATCGCCCAACCAGGAAATCGACATTCGTGGCTTCATATGCGATATGGCGCTGGATATAATCTGCGAGACTGCCATGGGTACCAATGTAGGTGCACAGTCGGAGACTGATGATAAGGAGGCCTACAGAAGACCAATTGAAATTGCCACTGAGCAACTGGTGGGTCGTTTTGTGAATCCATTTTATCGCAGTGATCTCATCTACAATCTGTCGGCTGATGGCAAAGAGAATCGACGTGTTATGGGTAAAATTCATCAGTTTGTGAAAAAAGTGATTAAAGAGCGAAAAGAGTTTATTCAAAACAAACTTCAAAAGGAAAACCAGTGCGAGATGACCACCGAAGAGCCACTAGTCAAAGATAAGCACCCTTTTCTTGATTCACTTTTGCTCACACACTTCAAGAATCCTCTTGAATTTACGGAAACTGATATTCTTGACGAAGTCAATACCTTCATGGTCGCTGGTCATGGTAAAATAACTTTGCCACTACATTTTTATAGATAATTTAACTTTTTTTATTATTTAATTTAGATACCACAGCTGAAGGTATGTGAAAAAATGCTTGCATATATTTTTTT